ATGATCTGCCATAAATGTGAGCAGGATACGTGATGTAATATTGACCAAACTAGCATCGGATAACTAGAAAATGTTACTGTCAAATGATAACAGTAAAATTCCCGGGCAAAAGACTCGGCTCAACGAATGTTTGGAATAAATAAGATTGAACAAAAAGTTGTCATTCTAGAAAAATGGGGTATAATTTAATATGAACGTGTTCTAAAAGCGTTGAAATGCAACACAGTTTCTTAATATCGGGTCACAGAAACAAAAAAACGTTTACTTACAAAAGCCATGCCAGCAATAATAATCGCAAGAATATGAAATTTTCCGAAGCCGATCTTCTCTAAAGCATCTTCAATTGAGTAGGTGTCTTTGTTCAGTAGCTGGTCAAAAAGCTCATGTTTGTCTTCTCGTGTGACGTCTTCCTCTGTCAAAGTGAACACCACCACACGTATTTAAATGAACAGTGAAGCGTAGTGGCTAGGGACACCGTGACGGTTTGTCACAGTGACGAATGAGGGATCATGATGGTAGTAGTAATTTGTAACCATTTGAATGCCATACTTTCTCCTGGTCAAAATTTTAACATTTTCGTTTTTATGATTTTTTTTTCAAAATTTCTGTATTAATTATAGACCAGATTGAAATAATTTCTAATTAGCTACATAATTTGATGAAAATATTTGAAAGAAAAATATGGAAACAAAAAATTGTAGTTTTTTTGTAAAATGTGACGAAAGTTGACTCCAAAAAGATTATTTTTGAACGCATGCGCAATACCCCATAAATTCGTTTCGTATCCGACTCCTCACACTTGGAACAAGGAGCAATATTTTGGCTCGTTCACACACGCGTTCAATGTGTTCGTGTTCTATGTTTGTCCCGTTGTGCTATAACACTATTATAAAGAACCCGCTTTTGGCTGATATTTCGAAAATATACCTTTTTTTTAAAAAGTATCGGCAATATGTTGCTGTAGTATCAATCTGTGTACATCAAGTGGAATCCTGGTAATATTTGGACGAGACATAGAACCGTATTAGACAGTGTTCACCGGAATCAACGTCCCTGTGCTACTTAAAATGAATCCAAAATATAAGTATATATAAGTCGCGCCCTCCAGCGACGAAATGCTCTGATGACGTAAATAAATGTAAAGAACGCCGATCACAGTGTTGATATTGTTTGGATCTACGGTTGTTCTTCAAAAAAAATGGCTTACAGAGATTCGCTAAATTTGAAACGATGAACGACTACACAATCAGAGTTATCTATTTCAAAGTCACGTTGACGTCATGCTAGCATTTTGTCACTAGAGGGCGTGACCTATTGGAAATGGTGAACACAACATTTCGAATGATAATCATGTTTTGTCGGTGATACATACATTTGCCAGAAACTGCGATGGATGCCTGTCGATTTGTGCGAAAATTACTCGTCCTGCTTTTTCCGTATCACCTTACGTAACTCAAGTTAAATTAGAGTTTTTTTTCAAATTAATATACGAATAGATATTGTCACCAATATGCGCGTTTGCCCGCCCACATAATCGTGTACAGATATTGGTATACATCCTCTAAATAAAAATGGCCGCTCCATTGTATCAGTTTAAATGAATGTATTATGCCTCTCAGTCTGCCTTGGACGGAAAAAAAACAAACAAACGATATTTCTGCTATAATTTTCAATGAGCGAATGTTGTCGACAGTGACAATGATTGCCTGTGAACTGAGAGTAACCAGCGAACACAGCGCATTGGATTTGGGCTATCACTCATATATGTTGTCTCACCTGAAAAGCGGTCATGTTGTTTACTGCTGGTAAATAACTCCATGATCCCCTCCCGTCTGAGTCATACGTTTCCCGGTCGTCTTTGAACCCGGGTGGTATTTTCGTGTAGGAGATGTCATCAGAACGACATAGCGATTCGATACACCTGTGCCATCACTGCTTGATCTATTTCGAACGTTTTTGTTATGACGTCACATCACAGTATTTGAAGGGATTATAAGTAGTAACGGTAGTAAGACCACCAAAATACCACGAGGATAATCATTCGTTTGATACAGAAGTAATCATATACTATGTGCGGAATGGATAATTTCGATAATTTATTTCATACACATTCTGTGAGTTATACGTAGACTAAAGTTGAAGGTACTAGATGATAGCCTGGTTCATGTTTCTTGTCAGTGAGGCGCCCTCTAGAGGCGAGAACCAGGCTAATTTTTATGAATAAATTTGTGATTTACTCATAACATTTAATGATGAAAAACTATTGGTTCTTCGGCATGTGATGATTTTTCATCATGGTCGACTGTCTCAAATTACTGGAAATGCGTAGTCACACATAATAGACGACTTTCCCGGAAGTCGAAGAACCGCCTTTTCGCATGCGCGCGCATGCGAAATTGGGGTGTAACGTAAACTTGCACGCGTGATATTGTGCTCCTGGGTGTACCAATCGACGTAATAAAAATAAAATTCTTTTCTATCGACTATCAGTAAACTGACATGGTTGTATTTTCCGCCATGACAAGGCAGGAGTATTTTTGCACCCCAGTTTTGCTACTTCCGGGAAAGTGGTCTATCACATAGTCGTCAAAACCCAGGCCGAAGTTCAACAACTGAGGGCGGTGTTCATATTCAAATGTTAGCGTCGGTTGAGCCCGCATTCCCAAGGGCGTATCCAACAACTGGAAGACAATGTCGCTACACTTTGTTGTGTAACAGCATTCGTTAAAAAATATAATAAAGTATTTAGTGTTTTCAATAGGATAAAATACGGTTATGACTCAGTATTTTTCAAGATGCTTAAAACTGGTCATATGAAAGGACATTTACCGCTAGTAGGCACAGAGACGGTACGATACGTTTTTGTAGCATTTAATTATTAGAAAATATAACAATTATTACAGTTAATCATTTCAATCAACGTCACATTCGATTGTTTGTCTGTCTGTACGACAACTTACCCACCGAACAAACAAAACAAATCAATTAAATAAAAGAAGAGTTACAGCGAAACAACATCTACAGAACAGCCTGAGAGCGAAAGGGAATTTAAATATAGAAACACGCATTTTGTGTAACTCATTGTTTAGACCGTAGCAGCGACGAAGGCTGGAATTTATATACACCTGAGCCACTGAGGATTTGAACGATCGGTTCATCAGCGCAAGTTCTGTGTACTGTAAAATACTTTATTTTAGCTCGAATTAATTTTCACTGAAAAGACGTTTTGGGTGTTTTGTATGAAATTTATTTTCACTGATTTTGAAGTTGAATGTAAAATATGGGGGGAAAAAGGTATATTCGCTGGATTTTATTTTTAACCGAATCATTCCTTCAGCGAAAATAGCGAAAATTAATTCCAAGCGAAAATAAAGTATTTTACAGTAAACATTTAATATGCCGACAATGTAACGCGTTAGTTGGTGTTGGTTGATGCATGGGAAGTCACAAAGCGTTCAATAATCGCTTTTTTGTAGTTTTAAGTTTGTCTGAGTGAGACCAACTATTTAGCAATATTTTGCATTATATCTGGTTTCTTGTGATGGTTTACAACCCACAACAGTGCGGGTAGTGATGTGAATCCACTCCGAAGCGTATACTTATCGAGGCAACGAATAACACTTTGAGTAAAAGACCATCGCGGGACATAGTACGAAGCGAAACCAAACGCTACCGATCCCATTGAATACAGTAACTCAGACTAAGACTTAATGCAATAGTACGTGCAATCGTCCCGTGACCAGAAACACATATTCCATTTGGCTGACGCAATAAGCAACGTCTTGTAGTCTAATACCGATCCACAAGTCCATGATAGGAGAAAAGATGAAAATGGAATTAGTCAGGGTATCCCATTTGA